AAAATACCGAACCATACCGAATAAATTTATATATGAAAAATATATTTTATATATTAACTTTAAAACCAACAAAGCATTAAGTTTTTTTCTTCGGTTTTGGGATTACGAAAATGGCTACAAGTAACCAAATAATTAATATCCAAAGTCCCAACTTCCAAGCCTATTCTACTACTCATATCAAAACTAAATTAGTTCTAACATCTTGAGTCGCAAGCCACTAAGTATTCCAGCGATCTTCAGTAGCAAGTAACAAGGTATTCGATATCTTTCCTCTAGCATGATTTAGATTTCTCTTCTTGGATACTAATCTTTTAATAAGCTCTATTCTTGAGTCCCAACTTGATTAGTATCATTTCACTCATATGATTTATATTTCTCTTGTCTTTGCTTAATTTGCGCTACCATAGAATAATGAGATGAATCTCTATTCTTGAAATATTTTATTTTCTTTTGATCATCATTTTTAAAATTGTAAAAATATTTAGAAACTTTTATCAAGTCCTATGCAATCACACATTATCGCATTGTAACCTCGACTAGACTCTTGCGTGATATTTTTCAAAAAAATACTAAAATATTAATCAAACCGTACCGATACCAAAGAGAAACCGAGATGATTGGGGTGGTTTCAAAAAATATAATTTTGATTATATAAAATAAAATAACCGAAAATTTAGTATGATATAAATTTTATAAAATAACATGCCGAACCGAATTATTGACACCCTTAGTGACCATGGGAAGGAGAATGGGCCCTTTAAGAATCCCATTCATTTAAAGTTAGTGCTAATGCCTTCCTGCCACTATTTCTGAATTCATTAATATTAGTCATAAAATATAGAACTTTTTTTTTGGTCTTTAAATTTGTTTACTGGTGTTGACTATTGAATTATACATCTAAGTGGTGCAGTTATAACCATTAGATATTAATTTCCGAATTTTGTTTCCAATGAACCATTTTATATAGTAAAATAAACAATAAATATTGACGATAGCTATGATATTGGCGAAAAGGCCTAACCGATAGAGTAGCTGAAATGTGAATTCTAAGCTTATATTAGCTCGGGATAACAATTTCATAATATGTCAACATCATTTAAAGTAAGTATCCTAATTAAGTGACTTGAAATAATATAGGGGCGTCTAATATTCAAGGGTATGTTCAAGTAATTAAGACAAATATTAGAATTTCGATAGAAGCAAAAATCTAAATGATATTTTTAAAGCTGATAAACCAAATTACTCAATAATCGTGCTGAAAAAGTCATACGTTTAATTAATCAGAATGTTTCCCAAATTGATGTAAACACCCATAGTCAAACCCTTGTCATTTCAAGGATAAAACAATTTTATATGGACAATATAGACAAACAATGACCAAAAATATCCCTTTCGTGGCACGTGCCTTATATTGAGAACAATCCCAAATTTTATGTTATATCCCTTTCATGGCACGTCACGAATAAGAGAAAAAACCCCTCTAAACGTGGCAATTGAGAGCCTAATCTCCGGTTTACCCTTCTAACGTTTTGGACGTTGATAAATACACCCATCTGTTTCCGTTATGTGAACCTTTTCGGAACTAGGGTCAAATTGGTAAATTTTTGGTGTAAACTTGAATATAGAATTTTTAATTTTTTTTTTTTTGAAAATAAAATTTAGGTAGAATATAGGAAAATTGTCAGTTATATCCATTTATAAGTAACTTGTTATAAAAATTGGTCAATTTATAAAGTATTATTAATATGAGTTAATTAGCTATTTATAACAAAAAAATCAAAATTTTACTTCTTCTTTTTTTTATATGTGAATGTTATTAGAACAGAATGAACACTTCTATAGCATGTCTCTTTATTTGAACACACCACAGCTCAAATACGTCATTGAGGGCGCAGTAGTGACCATGAGCCAATGAGCTTCGAGTCGTAATACTTTAATTAGTTCAAATGTCTCTTTCAGGGATCCAGAACATCTTAAGAGGCATAATATGATATTTTATATTTCGTATAACTTAATCTTTATGAAATGAGGAAGTCGTTGAAATTGTATCCGTAAAAATCTGTACTGCAATATTTAAGACAAGATAACACTAAAGGAAGAATTTCAAGCCAGTCATCACTCGAGCTCGACCAGGAAGCAGCGAGGTTCGTGGCCGAGATGTTTGTTTACCTTTAAAATTGGATAACAATTAATTTATAATATGGTTCTAAGGACACGTGATTTCACCTAATACCTATTGATAAATGTGAGGATGGGTAATAGAAATTAACAATAAAGTAAAGCAAACCGATGTTAGAATGGAACTCAGCCTTTGAGTTTGGATACCCTCGAACTGGTTGATGTCAAAACAATTAAAGTATAACAAGCTGATGAACAATAGTATAAACGAGAAAGAAAATTATATTGCTTTTTATATCTGTGAATTGTGTCCTACAAATGATTAGAACCCTTTTTATATAGTAGAGGAATCCCACTCATGGTATGATTCTAATTACAGGAGGAAATCCCATGATTAGCTAATTAACCGTTTCTGATTTGATCTGTTCCGAGATTTACGCCATGATCCTCGACCAGTCACCGAAGTTTACGCCGTGATCCTCGACCAGTCACAGATATCTCGCCTTTATGTTATTATGCTATCTTTGATCTTGCTCGATGTCTGTCTCATTTGACTTCAATTGCCACTAGCCTCGATCTCGACAGGTACCTCGATTCTGAACTTGGTACCTAGTCCTCGTGATTTAGTTTGTTCCGTTACGAGGCCGACCTTCAATGCAATCTCCCGGTCTTGGTCAAATAGTGAAATCGGGTGGGCCCGATTTTAACCGTATACAATGTCAATAAGGGTCGAGGTCGAGCATTGTTGGCAAAGCTGTAACGGCTAGTTTTCGAAATAGGATATTAAAGATAATATTCTAGTGGATATTCTCTATACTTGTACTATTATGATTTATTAAAAAAATGTCTCATATAAATAGAAAAGGAGACAATGATGTAAGGCACGTGACATTCATTTGACAAGAACAAACTTTTGATAAAAGATTATTTTTCTTTCTTACAAAGATACAAATACTACATTTTCATCTAGATTATGGCTCGGATTACCCCACACCCTTCCTTCATATCCGAGAATAATTCGAACATTCTGAGATTTGTCTGTCACTCATCATTGTGAGGAGGGATAATTAACTAGTTCATACTTTATTGGATGAATCACTTCTTCTATTTACTTAAATATTATTTATTAATGTTTATTGTTAGTTGTTGCTACACTAATGCTCATACTTTTTGGAATAGTTAATGCATATTGTTGTCAATCCCCCACTAGATCTGATCAGCATTAGTCACCTTTTGGAAATAACATTAAGAGATATTATTATTAACTAAGTTTAACCCATTATTATATAAACAAAACTGTTTTAACCAAAAGTTACACTTTTTGGTCATACAATTCGGCGCCGTCTGTGGGGATTTCTTAGTTAAGCTTTTAGTTTCTTTTAGATGTACAGCCAACACGAGCCACTAACGTAAAAAAAAAAAAAAGAGAAAGCAAAAAAACAAGATCTCCTTTCTTTGTACGTAAAAAATCCTAACATGGCAGGTAACCGAGAAGAAAGGGCGAGAATAATCAATGACCTCCCAACTAACCTCATGAACATCATCAACGAAAGCTGCGAAACGGCAGACGAAGGCGCAACGCCCAATGCCTCCCCTAGGCAAGATGGGTCATCGCCTCCTCATTGAAGCATCACAAAGTTTCTTGGTAAGGGAGCCTCCACATCTGTGGGGAAGGAGACACCCCCAGCTGTAAAAAAGCTCCTCGAAGCATGGCTAAACGACACGCTAAATAGCATCCTTAACAATCCCGCCCGGGACGCGGCCACAGAAAATGCAAGAACTTACGTTATACAACCAGCAAACGAGCAGCACAACCAACTCCCTCCACCTCCCACGACAGGTATTACTCACAATGTCGTTAATAGTGCATGCGATAACACTCTCGCATCCATTCTAAAAAGGATGGAGGAAATGGAGAATGAGAATAGAGCACTCCGGGACCAAATGAGGGAACATCAAGAAAGGGTCGATAAAATATCGGGCGCCCCTAAGCTTTTGCCGAAGAGAGATGCCGACCAATTTGTCGAGCAGCCTTATAGTGATGACACCGCCCCACATGCCATACCAAAAACCTTTAAAATGCCGACCTACCTCAGGATATATGATGGCACGACCGACCCTGAAGATCATGTGACTCACTATGTCACCGATGTGAAAAGAAATGACCTCGCCAAAGAACAAGTATCTTCCATTTTGTTGAAAAGTTTCGGTGAAACCCTCACAGGAGGAGCGTTAACATGGTATTCACAACTATCTACGCGTTCCATTGAAACTTTCGAAGAGATGGCCGACAAGTTCTTAACGGCCCATGCTGGGTCCAAGAAGGTCGAGGTGAGAGTAAACGACATATTTTCTATTAAACAGTATCTGGGAGAGGGATTGAGGAACTTACTCGCACGGTTCAACCAAATAAGGATGACCTTGCCGAACGTGTCAGAAGGGATGGCGGTCGCAGCCTTCCAAAACAGGTTGAACAGGGATGGTTCGAGGACGACTAGAAAGCTATTAAGTCGACTGATGAAGTACTCCTAACCACTTGGGATGAAATACGCAACGCATATTGGGTCGAGGTCCAAGAAGATGAGGACAACCTCAATGGACCAACTCATCGACTGACCTCGGTACAGGCTGAACCCAGAAAAGATCGAAGAAATGATACCAGAAGAGACCTCGCAGATCCACGACCTAAGAGGGAACGAAATCAACCGTATGTCAGAGCGGCCGTTGCGCCCTCCTCCCGCCACGAAAAAGGCCCGCCTAGATCAAGGACAGGGACTCACCGGAATGAAAGAGGTATTGCCCCATTTATTATCCACTCACAACTTTTGTGTGTCACCCACAGAGATAGTCTATGCCCTGGAGAAGCTCGGACCAAAGGAGAAATGGCCACAAAAGATGAGGTCAGATCCGAGTACCAGGAAGTCAAACGCCCTCTGCGAGTTCCACCAAGAACGAGGGCACAAAACCAAAGACTGCATTGCCCTAAGGCAGGAGGTAGTAAACATGTTACGACAAGGACACCTCAAAGAGTTGTTGAGCGAACGGGGAAGGACCAACTTTGCCAGAGGACGTGAACTACATCAGGGACCTCCAAAACTGCCCTCACCAACTCGCATTCACATGACCATCTATGGAAGGGATGATGTTTTTCATCAACATCATGAAGTTCACCACTACTTACAAACAGTCAATCACTCACGATTGGTATGACGGACTCGAAGAGAGTAACATCTTCGATAAGTCGGGCACCCACGGTTTGGCTTTCCCTTACTATGATGACCTTGTTATTACTTTACGAATTTTAGATACCGGTGTGAGATGCATTATGAGAGACGATAGGAGCGGCGTATGCATTATCCATCCTCGAGTACTTGCACAAATGAAACTCGAAGACAAGATACTGTCATGTTGCATCTCGCTAACTGGTTTTAGCAATGCGGTCGAGCGAATATCTGGTGAAATCACACTCCCCGTTCTGACCGGTGGCGTTACTCTAGAAACCATGTTTCACATCATGGACCAAGACACAACGTACAACACCATAATAAGGCGACCATGGATACACATCATGAGGGTCATCCCATCCATCTTATATCAGGTCATCAAGTTCCCGACTCTATGGGGAATATTCAGCATACGAGGAGAACAACGCGCATCCCGGGAATGCTACCGCATCTCCCTAGATAGCACATCCACTCAATAAATTGAGGACAAAGAAAAAAGAGGCATAGAAATAAACAGGGTCGAGGTCGATATGTGACGATAGCGAAGACATCATTAGAGACCCTGATATGGTCGAAGTCGCATGATCGACCATAGAAGACCTCGACCCCGTTCAATTAGATCTTAACGACCACAACAAGAATGCTTACATCTACTGCAAACTTTAGGAACCGGGTGAATTCCATCAATTCTTAACTACTAACGCAGATTTGTTTGCTTTCAGTCATGCAGACATACCGGGTATCCCAAAGGAAATTGCCACACACAAACTGAATGTCGACCCATTCCACCCCCAGTAAGACATGTCAGATTTAAGTTTAACTCTGTAGTAAACGATGCGGTACGTGAAGAGATGGAAAAATAATGGAGAATGGCTCCATCAGCGAGACAAAGTACCACATTGGGTCGTCAACGTGGTCATGGTTAAGAAGAAGAATAGGAAATGGCAAATATGCGTTGATTTCATAGATTTAAACAAAGCATGCCCAAAGGATTCTTTCCCATTACCCCACATCGACCAACTCATTGAAGCAACAGTCGGGCACGAACTACTAAGCTTCTTGGACGCTTATTCAGGTTATAATCAAATCCTCATGGAAGAAGAGGATCAGGAAAAAACCACCTTTATCACCCATCAAGGGATGCACTGCTACATAATCATGCCCTTCGGGTTAAAGAACGCGGGGGCAACTTACCAAAGGTTGGTGACGAGGATGTTCAAGGACCAACTCGATAAGACGATGGAAGTCTATACAGATGACATGCTGGTCAAGTCCAAAAGGAAAGAAGATCACATCGAACATCTAAGAGAAACTTTCGACATACTCAGACGATACGGAATGAAGCTGAACCGCAAAAAGTGTGCGTTTGGTGTGGCCTAAGAAACGTTTCTAGGTTTCCTGGTATCACAAAGGGGGATCGAAGTCAATCCTGACCAAATCAAAGCCATCGAGGGGATACCGGAGCACTTGACCACTAAAAACAAGGTTCAAAGGTTGACTGACCGGGACGTCGCCCTGTCAAGGTTCATTTCACTATCATCGGATAGATTTCACAAATTCTTTGTCGTACTCAAGAAGGATACCAGCCTCCAATGGACTTCAAAGTGCGTCCAAGCCCTGAAGGAATTAAAAGCATACTTGTCGTCACCACCACTGCTTTCAAAACCAAAGCTTGGAGAACTCCTCCTCGTGTATCTCGTTGTATCCGTAGTACCTGTGAGAGCAGTACTAGTTCGACAAAACAAAGGTATGCAATCCCCCATCTATTATATTAGCAAAACATTAGTCGACACCGAGACGAGGTATCCTCTTCTCGAAAAGCTAACTCTAGCCTTAGTCGTAGCTTCGCAAAAGCTTAGACCGTATTTCTAGTTCCACCCCGTCTCGATCGTCACAACCTTCCCCCTGAGAAACATTTTGCATAAACCCGAGCTATTGGGAAGGTTGGCCAAATGGGCTATCGAGTTAAGCGAGCACGATATCATGTACCAGCCGCGAACAACGATAAAGTCACAAGTGCTCGCTGACTTTGTCGCCGACTTCAGCGCAAAAGTAATGCCCGGAGTTGAGAGAGAAGCCTCTCAAACATTCCCCCAAACACAAGACCTTTGTGTCTTATACACCGACGGCACATCCAACGCGTCAGGGGCCGGACTCGGACTCGTACTCGAAGTCCCAACAGGTGAAATGATTCGCCAGTCCATAAAGTACCAAGATATGACTAACAACGAGGCCGAGTATGGGGTCGTAATCGCAGGTTTGAGACTAGAACTCAAGTACGGGGCAAGGTACTTGAAACTACGATGTGATTCCTAACTCGTAGTTAACCAAGTCACAGGGACTTGACAAATCAAAGAACAAAGATTGCAAAACTATCAGACTGAAATCCGTAAGTTACTGCCCGAGTTCGACGAATGTCAGCTCGACCAAATTCCCCGAGTACAGAACGCTGAGGCAAACAGCCTTGCTAAATTGGTCGCAGCCACCAAAAGCATCGAAACCGGAGACAAGAACATAGTACACCTCCTCAACTCATCGTTTGATCAAATTGAGTAAGAACCATAAGCCTAACTTGGGATTGGCGCAGTCGTATTATTACATATTTGCAGGATGATACACTCCTAGATGATAAAGAAGCCAAGAAATTGAGAATGAAAGCGACCAAGTACAATATCATCCACAATGACCTGTATAAGAGGACTTACGGCGGCCCTTTGGAAAAATGTCTGGGCCTAAACCAGATGTGGCGCGTCCTTGAAGAGGTCCACGAGGGCCATTATGGAGCTCACTCCGGCAATCGAGCTCTGGTCAGATGCCTCATACGGGTAGGATACTACTGGACCACCATGAAAAAAGAGTCTGCAGACTTCGTGAAATAATGTGAGCAATGCCAAAAGAATGCCCCGATGATTCACCAAGCGGGCGAACACCTCCACTCGGTCATCTCACCTTGGCCATTCATCAAATAGGGAATGGACATCGTGGCCCCCCTCTCGGCAGGACAAGGTAACGTACGATTTCTTTTGATTTTAACTGACTATTTCTCTAAGTGGGTGGAAGCAGGAGCATTCTCCCAAATACGTGAACAGGAAGTGATCTCATTTATATGGGAAAACATCATATGCCAGTTCAGCCTCCCTAAAGAGATAAGCTGCAACAACGGACCCTAGTTCACGGGAAAGAAGACCGTCGAGTTTTTTTAGAAATGGCATATCAAAAGGATACTCTCGACGCCATACCACCCCCCGAGCAACGGGAAAGCAGAGTCCTCTAACAAGTCGATATTGAACATCATGAAGAAAAAGCTTGAAGACGCCAAGGGACCGGGGCTGGAAATATTACCAGAAGTACTGTGGGCCTATCGAACAACGCCAAAGATGAGCATAGGAGAGATGGACCAATGCAGTAATACCAGTCGAGGTCAAAGAGCCCAACCTAAGGTACTCCCATGAGAGCGGAGCAAGGAACGACGAAAGCAGAAGGCAAGAGCTTGACGAACTTGAGGAACAAAGAGACATGGCCTACATAAGGATGATTTCCCAAAAACAACAAGCAGAACGCTATTATAACAAGAAGGCAAAGGTCAGGCCGCTCAAAGTCGGGGACTATGTTCTTAAAGCTAAAACACAAGCGAGCAAAAACCCACAGGAAGGAAAACTAGGAACAAATTGGGACAGCCCGTACAAAATCACGGCAAGAGCACACAAAGGGTCATTCCAACTAGAAACAATGGAAGGAAAGTTGCTGCCAAACAACTGGAATATTACCCACCTCAAGTACTTCAAATTTTAAGAGATAAAACGTCCCACAATCCGTACTCTTTTTTCCCTCACTTGAGTTTTATCCCAATTGGGTTTTCTTAAGGAGTTTTATAACAAGGCGACGAAGGGAACACTTTAAGTCGAAGTATACAAAGATGGGGCCAGGACAACTAGTTCATTGCTCGACCTCTCAAACACTCTCCAGTTCAACCAATGAAGGGACTAGATAGTCTGGGACTGGAACGCCAGCCAACGCCCGAATTTTTTTAAAATTTCTCCAAATGTATGACCAAAGCAACAATGCTTAAAGTTTACGGTTTCGACAAACTCCGCACTTATCGGAACACACACCATCCCTTGGCCATAATTAAAATTAGGTTATGTTCGACATCGTCGAACTGACACCTATTGGCCCTCGACTATAATTAAACTTAGGTGTTCAACCTTGTTCGAACTAACACCTACTGGCTCTCGGCCATAATTAAAATTAGGTTATGTTCGACCTCATCGAGCTGACACCTACTGGCCCTCGGCCATAATTAAATTCAGTTTATGTTCGACCTTGTTCGAACTAACACCTACCGGCCCTCAGCCATAATTAAAATTAGGTTTTGTTCGACCTCGACGAATTGACACTTACTGACCCTCGACCATAATTAAATTCATGTTATGCTCGACCTTGTTCGAACTAACACCTACTGGCCCTCGGTCATAATTAAATTTAGGTTATGTTCGACCTTATTCGAACCGACACCTACTAGCCCTCGACCATAATTACTTAGGCTATGTGACCTTGTTCAAGCTAACACTTATCGGCCCTCTGCCATAATTAAAACCTTGTTCGAACAAACGCCCACCAACCTCTGGCCGACATTCACCATTAAGTGATCACGGTCATAAAATCAAGGCAAACAAGCGACAAAATTAAAAAACATACAAATGCAAAAACGAACCGCATGAAGAGAATCATATGCAAATAACAAGGTTGGCATTTCATACTTGAAATATTATTTATAAAGGCTCACGAAGACGCCACCAACTACATACAAAAATATACAAAAATTAAAAGAGAAAACTACTGGCCACCACCATCACGGCCTTCGACATCCCCGCCGACTTGGCCCTCAACAACACCGTCGTCCTCTTGACCTTTAATACCTTCGCCATCGCCTCCTTTGCCCTCAGGATATGCAGCGTCATACCAGACATTCTCCTCGAGCGAGTCTACAACTTCATCCCCCTCGTCCTTATCGGCCTCTAGCGTAGCGGGCTCATACCCGCAAGCGACTCGAGCTTCGCGAGCCTTAACATGATCATATTCGAGGGCGGCCTCAGAAAAGAATCCCGCTGCATGCAAACCTCGAAACACGTCTAACTGAGCCTTGACATGAATCCACTCCTTATATAACTCTCGAGCAACATTAGGAAAATCTGAAGTATGAGAAGAAGATGGTTACGCCAGTAATCGGGCTTTCTCGGCCTCAAGAGCAGCAACTCGGTCATAGAGTCCAGAAGTCTCTCTCTCCAACTCTCCAATCCTCTCATCAAGACGCTATTCTTTAAGCCTTGCCATTTCCAAGTCATTCTCTCGCTCAGAACGGAGAGTCTCAACCACTACCTCAAGAGCATCCGCCTTCTCAAGATCCTCTACCTTCTCGGCGACCTCGCCACTTAGAGCATCCGCTCTAAATTGACACTCCTCAAGCTGGGCACGCAAC